ATATATATATATATATAGATATATATAGATATATATAGATATATATATATATATATATAGTTCATTTTTTGGGATTCAATAAAAAAGAATGTTTAACAGTTGTCCACAGAATATAGCGTAATTGTTTCAGATATATTTGCTCCTTGTCATGGTTCAGTTCATGCGTTAATTCTCCATGGTGGCAAATAGCGGAAGCTGTATTGTACAGTATACTTGTGTGCAACTTGACGTACTCACACATCCAAGCACACTTAATCACACATATACGCACACATGTGCACGCACACATACAAAAACGCACACAAAAGGCCGAGTGGTCTTTCTATAGTGTTGCCACAGTCCTTGTCTCCCCTTAATCACATTAAGTGTCCAGTGGGGGTACTTGAGTTTGACCGGCCATTCGGAAACCACAAATCTCCCAAAAATGTGTAAGAAAGCCCAAAAAAAATGAAAGAAAAAAAGATTTGTGGACAAACAAAAATAAAACATTGTATCTGTAAAAACACACTTGATGAGCGTTTTGGAGCTATCCTGAGTCACTTCAGGTCAGGGTGAAGAGGTCAACTGGTGACCTTTTGATGATTCAGCATCCAAAACAAGGGTCCAAAAATGTGACTGCCCTCCTTTGACCCCAGTCATCTTCTTGACCTTTGATCTCAGCCCATCATATATCCTCTTCCACCACCTCACCCTTCTCCAGCAAGTGCCCTTTTACATTACACACCTTCAATATGAAGATGGAGAACGACACACACGTGCACAGTAAAACAACTTCTATCAGGGAAAGAATTGTCCTCTATCTCCTGTGGGTCCAAAACATCTCTGCTGTTTCTTTCGTCTTTTTTTTTGTGTGTGACCCTTTCGTTCACTTATTATTTTACACCAGGGCATTCATTCCTTACTATGCATCACGTCCATCAAAGCTGGGTTGAGAGGTCACGGAGAGGGGCTCTTGAGTGAGGATCAGAGTGTGACATTTCAGTTACAGGGCTAAGGCCAACCTCACTAAAACACACATGCATGCAAACGTCCACCCACACCAGAGCTGGTGAGGCACGCATGGAATATAAGGGGGGTAACTCTTCCTCCTCTTTCAAAAACACACAAATTCTGATTGGATGGAAAAATAAACAATGAGGAGTAACACAAAAAGCAGGAACAGGAAATGGAAGTGGTAGTGAAATAACGAGAAAAAAAATAGTCAGAGGCACTGCAAGCCAGTTTCATAGCGTCTAATTGGCAGAGATGGGTCAGGCAGCTAGGGTTTTACAATGGCTCTTTCTGGCACAGTTCCTCCCCCCTTTTCCTGTCTGGCTGTCCTTCGACTGCATCGGTCTGTTTGTCCTGACGCTCACACCTGGACAGGAAGTGTTTGGTTCATCTGTAGTCTCATGTCCTGAATGCTACCGAGAATCTTCTTCTGATGGCCAGCCAACGTTACCCCTATCCGCAGCAAGTCCCTGTGGAGTGAGAAGAAAATAAGAACAGGTGGCTGAGTCATAAAAATTAAAAAAAAAAAAAAAGTAGACAAACATCACATGTTCAAAATTGAAATGCAAATTTCACTTTTCACCTACAAGTAATCACACAATCAACCAGGTGCGAACATGGGCAGCACCTTGGCAATCACCCATAAAATGGCATCCAGAGGGTATGTCAACAAAATGGGAACACTCATCCAGCTATAGTGAATGTTGGTCTTAATGCAACATACTCCTGTTGCCTGGCAGATGGGCAAGATGAGGAGAGTCAAGGAGCCATAGTCTGATAGTTAATGATTAAAGAGAAAACTTAGCTACTGTTCGGCAGCTGGCAGGCTTCACAGAGTCCACACCAGCCTGCCACTTAGCTATAGAAACGGCGAAGCAGAAGATCCTTTTTTTTTTTTTGTAATTTACTAAACAGATTACTCGGTTAGGGGCCTGTCATTCATACTTAGAATGGGTCTGTGTGTCAGTAAATCAGCTTTAGCTCAGCCACTGTTGCAAACCACATTCCTCATTGCTCAAAGATATCCAGGAAAAACTACAGCAAATAAGACTGGAAAGTGTAAATTAGTCTTATAGCCGAGGGCTCACAGCAGCTACAGTGTAATCTTTAGAGTCAGTTGAAGGTGCAGTGGGAAAATGTGAAATGTTGACATACTCTAAAGTTGACATTACTACACCCTGGAAGAAAAGGCCTGGGAGAGTGCACCTGCTTTGGCCGTCATTAGTCAGTCAGCATAATCTAATCATCGTGGCTCTGTTTGTTTAACGCTGTACAATTATATCACGAGAACCTCTCTTTTCCGCTCGCTTGTTTGATTTCCCCAGTCGATAGAAGAGAGCGGACGGCGTCTGGGGCAGCGATTAGCTAACTGTTGGGGCTCTGCCACAGTCTGCGTCCTCTCCGTTCAGTCACACACACCCACACACACCCACCCACACACACACACACACACACACACACACAAATACTGGTTAATCTAATATTACACACAGACACCATATACTCTGCTTGTCTCAATGACTCTGTGGCCCCATCCATTTTAGTAAAACAGTGTGCACCGAAACTCACACATGTGCAAGCAAACGCACATACACATACACATACATTGCGTGCGTGTGCTAACACACACACACACACACATACACACTGCACATCCATCCTCTCCAAAGCCAAATAAGGGTCCATCACTGCAATTTCACACAAATAAATGGTGTTTTTTTTGTTTTTTTTCATATTTCGCCACCCCCATCAGTGCAGCGATGGAGGATGAAATGATAATAAATGGGAACCATTAGAGGAATTACTGGCCATTAAGGGCAACAGAGAACCACAGTACACCACACCTGTCAGCCTGGCCAAATTGAAACAAATTACCCCCACCTCCATTGCCTATTATGCAGCTAATGAGGATAATTTATTTATCATTATAATGGTAATTCATTTATTTGATCATCTCTGGCCTCCAATTTCCATGACTTCCATTACATCATTTCCTGTTGGTAAACACAGCAGAAGGTGGATGATCCTCAAGGTCAACTGGAGCTCGTAGTTAAGGAAGCAGCGACGAGTGCTTGCTGAAGAATTGTTCTACTCTGGTAAATTGTGTATCTGTCGATTGTGTATAAGCTTCTGGAGCAGGTGATTGTTATTAGTCCCCTCATGATTACATAATCCTCCCCGTTCAACAGCAAACCTATTCTGATTGATTACCTACCAAATTATAGGAAAAGTATGGAGAATCTTGTGTTTTAATGGTTCCAGTAAATCTTCCATTTTCCCTTTTTCCTTATTAAGCTATAGTATTCTTTATGTCTACATAAATGCTCGAACACATAACAGTAGATGGCATGATACAGTATGTCTTCAAGGTATGATTTTTGTTAGTGGCACACCGGATATACAGTATATTGTGCTTTGATTTTTATTCTTTACATCTGTTATTGATTTGATGTCTAATCGGAGCCTCTTTTCCACATCTTATGTTTAATTTCGCCGTGAGACCAGTTTTATTCCCTCAAGGGCAATCTGTATAACACAACTTTGGCTCTCAAACTCAGCACAGTCAATCAATTTATGGCTGATTAGCTGCATCCACTCCCTCTCCACTCACTCTGCTGTCATCTGGGCCACGAGGTCAAAGGAAGCAAATCCGGCATTGACGAAGTTGTCACGGTAGCGGCTCATCTTGATGGCGTCCAGCCAGTCCCCCACAGTGGTGAAAGTGGTATAGTCTGGCACACAGCGGTCAAGCAAGGGCTGGGATACCCTACATTGGGGAATGGGGGAGGGAGGAGGGAGAAAGAGAAACAGAGAGAGAGAGAGGGTTAAGGTCGTCACTGTACTGCCTCTACCGGCCAACCTCACCCCCATACGCCCCCCACTGAGCGCCACCTCTCCATTTCTCCAGCTCTCCTCCTCTCTTCTCCTCTCCTCCACATGTAAGGAGTTGTGTGCAGGGGGGTGGGAGGGGGGTCACTTTCATGACTGTGGAGAGACTGGCTGGAGGCTTGGGTGGTTGGTGGTGGATGCTTGCACTGAAGCTGGTGAGGCAAGGTGGTGTGTGAGCAGATGTCAAATCTTGACTACACGCATTGACATATTACAAGGAACCACATCAGATTTCAAATTCAGAAACTATAATAATTTGCTATAATTATAACAGCTGCCATAGTAACAAAGTGGATATTTTTCTTAATTAAGAATGCATTTATCTGGCAGCATCAGTGATGTAAGAATGTGCCATGTTTCCCTAAAAATGTCTGGATTGCTTTGTTGGCCCTTGTTTGTCTTGTTTCAGTGAGATGTCACTGTGTTGCATGGGGACTGACATAACAGAAAAACAAATCCCACTTGAAATTCAATCTGAGAGTTTGTACTGAGTTGCACTTTCAAACCACATGCAAGTGTGGTTTAAATCCTTTACATGTGTTTCTTCCTGGTCAGCTCAAACCAGATTTGGTCTCCCCGTATGAACATAAGTTTAACTAGTAAGTTATAAAATTGTATGCTTTAATGTACATTGTTTTTGATTGAATATGCACATGTTCTTACAGGAACGTCATCCGAGTTTGGCTAGACAAAAGTGTAACACGATCCCACAGAGGTGGAAATGCATTTTGGGAGAACGCTTCATGATATCTGTGGAAAGTAAACACAGATGTCGTTTACGTGTTTGTGTGATTGCATGGTAGGACTGACACATGAACCTCCATGAAGTGGCAACAATGGAAGGAGTTACTCACAAACCTTCATGTGTGTATTCCTGAAAATGTGTTGGAGTGTGTTTTGCATGTTCTTGCACACCTGTTGACAGCCCTAAAGGGCCTTTTTAAAGAACAAAGTAACCCCTTGGCTGATCAATGCTGTAGATAGAGAGGCCACCTTGGGAGTTTTAATAAAACTGTGCTACAACTCAGAGAGAAGTGGAGCGGATAAACAAGGGAGGAGATGATGGTGGAGGGGAGACAGGGAGGTGTGGTGAGCAGAGTGGGGAGAAACAGATGAGGGAGCAGGCAAAGAGAGAGCGCCACTGTCTCCCCTCCTCTCTGCTCTGTTGATCCCTGTCATCCTTTTTGATGGCATTAGATTCATTAACAATTAAAAGAGGAATGGAGAGAGAAAGAGGGGGAAAAGAGAAAAGGCATGGCGGGGGAGTTAATAACAGTGATACAGAGGCTCCATTGAGTGGTGTAGATGGAGGGATTTTTAATAAGGCTTGTGCTTCGGAGCCTCAGGCCGTTGTTAACGCCAGACCCTGGCTTTTCTTAATAGAGTATTGTTAGTCGTCGTCCTCTAAAGTTGGCTTCAAAAGGGTCCAGTCCGTTGCTGGCCACATGTGAGCCAAAAGCAGAAACACAGCAGGAAAGTTGTGTAATATTGTTGGCTAGCTAGTGAGACAGTTACTGACCAAGCCTAAATTTAAGGTCTAAGGTTGGGACTGTCAACTGTTTTCCAACGGGTTAGGTCTGTCAAACTGTTCTGCATTTTTAGGAAGTTTAGAAAGTGGGAATGTCTGCATTTATAACATAGACTCAACAGTAGAAATTAAGCACAGATGGTGCAGGAAGCCTAGCATCACCAAACCTCTTTACAAACCACTTTACACCTACAATGCAATATGCAGCCATGTCAAGTGCACATAACGCACACAACCAAAGCACTTTCATCCCAGACAGTGTTAGCTAACCTCTAGCCACCCTTCAATGCCGACCAGGACGGCGGCATCATCTCACTCCTCCCTTGTTAGGTTTGTCGGCAGGAGGCCACCTCTCCGCTGGCCCGTTTAAAATCTCGTTAGTGGCTAATTAAAAGGCGCTCCCGTCTTCTTTTTGCATCGCCTTAATCGAGCTAATTAACCGCAAGCTTAATCTTCTAAAAACATCACTCTGGTGGCCAACCGAGACCCTGGTGTCCCCCATGAGCCTAAACCAGGATTGTCTGCAGCCCTCCCTCAAGACAGAAAGACCCTGATGCAGGGACAGATAGGTAGGTCATTCCCCTCCCTATCGCTCCAACTCCACCACCTTCTATCCTCCAAATTATTTCCAGGAAACAAGTTGTGGAGGAAGGTAGTGCAGCTAAATGTAGATGTGACATCATTGATTAAGCTCCCAGTTGGCGGAGGAGTTGCTTTAAGGGCTGTATTGAGTGATGGTAATTTGGATTTGCATAATGGCCTAGGCTGCATTTGTGAGAATTAAAGAGTTGTATGGGAAGAAATCTGCACTTTATAGGAGTTGAGAGATCGTTACAGCTGACTCACGTACACCGTATTAACTTGGATAAGAAATATTTGCACAATGGAAATCATTATCGCAGTTGCTCTGGCTCAGGCGCAAATGAAATTGCTCTGCCAGTACTCTCACGGCTGGAAAGTCAAGTGACTTCATTCAATAAACTAATGACCTATTACTGTAATCTATCACAAGAGTCAGCAGGTCTCCTCAACATATGACCTAAGAAGACCATAGCAGATTTTTTAGAAAGCAATCAGCACTAATATCTATTCTGCGATGACCATAATGTGACATTATTGCCCTTTACAAAGATCACTAAGCCACTTACTAAAATCCAGGACCTCCAGAGAAACTAAGAGAAACGATTTCTATAATCACCAGCTCCACTGAGCATACACAAGATACAACATTTGCATTGAAGCTTAACTTGATGTGACCCACATACTTTTTTTCTTTCAGAATTATATGATAACTTACCCGGTGGACTGTGCGCTGTTGGTGACCACCTTTAGGCTGGCAGCATTGCGGATAAGCTTGTCCAGCGTGGCCACAATCTGGGTGAATTTGGGTCGCAGGTTCCTCTCTTTGACCCAGCAGTCCAACATGAGCTGGTGCAGTGCTGTGGGACAGTCCATGGGTGGGGGCAGTCGATAGTCCTGCTCCACGGCATTTATCACCTGAGAAAGGACGATAGAGAAATCTCAATCACTTCTAATCAGAGTACGGTGTAGAGGCAGTATGGAACACAATGAGAGAGACGGGTTGATGGAAATAGCAAGTGAGGGGGGACAGAGGATGAATGAGGGAAATGATGGAGTCAAAGATAAACAGGAAAAATTATTTCGGGAATGCGTAGAAATAAGGGACAGAGAAAGATTAGTTTTGAGTGGTAGTTGTGTATAGGTATGTAGAGAGAGAATGGCTTTTGGGCAGAAGTGGATGAAAACTTGCAAATGTTTATGCTGGATATTTCAACTGAATAACATTTCTTGGAAATCAATAACATATAATGTAATGTCACATAAATGATGCATATGTCACGTAATGGAAAACAAATAGCCTCATATCAGCTTACATCTTGATTGCTCATGTCCCAGTACGGCCGTTCGCCATACGACATCACTTCCCACATGACAATGCCGTAGCTCCACACATCACTGGCCGAGGTGAACTTCCTGTAGGCAATTGCCTCTGGAGCCGTCCAGCGAATGGGTATCTTCCCTCCCTGTGGATATGCGAATGAGTAGGTGAGCATGAAATACTGGAGGGATGGAGCACAAACACAGAATCACACACATACAAGAGGGAGAGAGAGGGTGAGAAAAACACAGTCTAAGGGAAATGTTGATGCACAACACATGGGTGCATGCTGTACAAACCAAACACCATGTACGTACAAGGTTAGAAAATGATATGTACAAACACGTGAAGCTAGAAGAACATTTAACGTGCTACACACTGTATTTTTCAACATCGATCTATCACCGGCGTAGAATCCTTTCATATACTGTAACTATCTGACAAATTGAACTCTGTGAGAAAGTGCATGAAATACCAATCACCTCACCTAGAGGAAATAAAACACTTCCACATTAGGTAGACAGATAGAAGATACTTTATTAATCTCCTTGGATTCAGGTGCTCAGGATATTAGTATTAGTATATATACATTTTAGTTAAATTACTATAAATTATAGGTAACACCATTGCTTCCTTGCCATTGTAACATATTCAGAAGGTTTTATTTGAGTTGCACTGTGGAAGAAGAGAGACCTTTCAGTCAACAGACCCAGAAGGAAGCATAGACTGCTGTATACAGGCCAAAGAGGTGGCTTTTATTATTTTAGTATCCTGCTTGGCCAATTTTACATAGGATCAAGAATCAGTCTTTCATAACAGACTTGCCAGTAATTTGTCGACAAAGGATATTGCAAAATGTCTGTAAAGCTGATTCGGCTTCAGTACCAACAACGCAGCAAATATATATATATATATATATAATTTTTTTTTTTTTTTTTTTTTTTTTTTATGGGTAGAGAGGGAGTATACAGCCATCAAAGTGGATGTACTATTGTGACTCGTAATGTCACGATTAACAATGTTTCAGCAGCATTCTTTTGAATGATCTTATTTTTTCCACTTTCACCTGACATCCACAGTAAGAGAAAAAAACTCCCTCTCTACCCATAATGGTTATGTCGCATGGGAACAGACTTGACACAGATCTATTTTTTTTTTAATACATTTATACTTGGCAATGCTGTGGGTTAACTTGTAAAAGTGGCTAAAATTAACATAATTGGTGATGTATCGATGTTAAAACTGTACATGTAGCACCTTTAAACATTGATTCCAAACATGAATACGCAAACTCAAGCACATTCACACACATTGACTCTGACTCACCAGGGAGCTGGTGTAGGTGGGGTCTGCGGGGTCATCCTCGAGGAAACGGGATAGGCCGAAGTCAGACACCTTACACACAAGATTACTGTTGACCAAGATGTTACGGGCAGCCAGGTCTCTGTGCACGTAGTTCATGTCTGACAGGTACTTCATGCCTGCTGCGATACCACGCAGCATGCCAACCAGCTGGATCACTGTGAACTGTCCATCGTTGAGCTGGCATAGGAAGAGAGAGGAGGACAAGGATAGATTGGATACTAGACCAAGGTTGCATGTTCAAAGGAATATATGTTAGCCTCCCTTTTACCTTTATTTGTCCTACCTATTTTTATTTTTTTTCAATGTCTTTTACAGTACTTTCTTTGCATATGCCCTCTTTCCTGCATCTCTCATCTAATATCACTTCACACTGTAACATCTTTCTCTTTGCTACCTATCCATTCTCAGTTCCTCCCTTACCCTTTCTCTGGCAGACAGTGCCTGATGTGACTTTGAGGCAGTGATACATTGGAGACTGAGCTCTTTGTAAATGTCACCAATTGCCTGAAAGCGGTATATGTCAGATAACCATTGTGGGCTCTGCAGCAGTGCTTAAGAAGACCTTTCATCGCACCAAAGAAAGTGAGATAATTAAAAATAGATTTGGATGGGCTAATTTGCTGTTTTTTGTTCCTCACCCGTAGGAAAGAGTCCAGTGCGCCATTCTCCATGAATTCGGTCACAATCATCACTGGCCGACTCTTGGTGACCACACCTTCCAGACGGATAATGTTGGGATGGTCAAACTGGCCCATGATTGACGCCTCAGACAGAAAGTCTCGCCTCTGGCGGTCAGTGTAGCCCACTTTGAGAGTCTTGATGGCTACGATGATCTCCCGGCGCCCAGGCAGCTTTAGGCGACCGCGACACACCTCCCCAAACTCTCCTGGGAGAGCCCACGTGAGCCAGGCAGAGAAACGGCAACAGAAGGAGAGAGAGAAAGAGGGAGGGGAGAGAGGTATGACGGAAGAGTGGAGGAGAGTGGGGGAAAAGAGGGGAGAGGGGACAGTTAACTGGTTAGAACCAAGGAGCCAGGGAAGGGTAGCAGGAGGGGTGGGACAGAGGGAACTGCAAGATAAGCCAGGACTCTAGGCCAGTGTCAAGGGATGGTGGTGATGGGGGTGCATACAATGACTTTGTGCTGTTAAGCTACGGATTAAAAGAAACAGCATGTTGAGTTTGAGGCATAATGATGAAATGTGAGAAAGTTGAAAAAAAAAAAACTTATTTGAAATGTGAAAAAAATGGTAAAAGCAGGGTGACAGAGTGTGAGGAGCTGAGGGGGACAGAGGAGGAGAGGGGGGCATGTATTTGGTGGGGGAAAGGGGGTGCTATGCTTTAGAGTGACTAGAGAAGCGGGCACAGGAGGAGGAGATAGGTGGAGACAGAAGCTTGGGGGCTCTTGGGCTGGTGGACGCTTTACGTTTAGAGTCTACACCAAGCGTGTGCAAGAATGCAAGATGAATCAGGCGATGTGAGCGATGTGGGGAAAGTCAGGGGAAGGTAGGCAGGGGATGGATGGAGGGATGAGGGATGGAGGGATGGATTGAGGGGGGGAGAGGAGAGGAGGGGGACAGGGAAGACAGGGGTTGAGGGTTCGTCACTTTGAAGGCGAATGCTGGGAAGCGACGTGTTTCAAGTAGTGGCCTCAGAAGTAGAAGAACTGTAGTAGTAGCAGTAGTAATGGTAGTAGCAGAAGCAGTAGTAGGGACTCCCATCTCTGCCATCACAACGTCCTCCATTTTGGCTCAGTACAATACTTAGAAAACTCAACCTCAATTGGCACAGTCCTGCAGCTTTTGAGCAGAGATATTACTATAAAATATATCATAAACATAAAATACTTTACTATCTACAACATATCAATTTGGGGAGGGTTTCTAAAGGAGGGGACACAACCACATAATGCCAAAAACAGGGGTTACATGTAGTTATCCATAGAAGCACTCTTTAATAAAGAGGTTCACAAGAAACTAAAAGGTGGGCAAGGTCAGAGACTACCATTCCTGGACAAGTAATGTTTTTATATCTTACGCCCCATGCAGACAGAAATCTATATCTCACGGGGATGCAGGAGATAAATATTAGCCCTGCTCCTTGGTAACTTTGAACAATCCAACATACTCCACAGGCTACTACACATGTAGGATCTGTAGTTCAGATTCTCCACATGGTCTTTCAATAACAACTATATGTCAGTAACCAAGTAATGGGTTTAGGTCAAATCTATTCATGTGCAAATAGTTATATTTTAACACACAAATTATCTATCTGTATAAGAAGTAAAATTAGAAAAAGTATGGCCAAAAAACAATAGGGCTGTAATTAATACTGAAAGAGATAAGAGGGCAAACCAGACAGGATTGCCATCTCCCCTAGAGAAACAAATCCTGTCTGTACGGGACTGTAGTCTTGCATTGTGCAACATCTGATTCCATTAGATTCAAGTTTTTAGTCATTTGGAAATGACTGCTGTTTCATAATTATTTAAACTAAATTAATTTCCTCACATAGCATTTTTCTCAATCCAGGATTGGGCTCTGTTTAAAGGAAATAAGGTGAAAATAATAATCCCCCATACAAAAGGTATTGCAGCTACTCTAAATGCACACGGCATGGCACACAACTTAAGGGTGAAACTGAGTGACGCTAACTTAAAGAGGACACACTGCAGCTAGTTATGCTTTAGAGTGCTGGAGACATCTGTAAAACTGGAAAAGGGTTCCTAACAGATGACGAGTGTGGGGGGGGGGGGGGGGGGGCAAGGAGAGGTCTAGCGATGAATTGAGTGAAAGTACCGCTTGGTGTGAAGTCCTCTAACGGTATGGCCTGGAGGTGACTAGCAGTCTTCCCCCTGTAGCTCAGGAGCTTTGGTGGGTTACCTGCGCCGATGACCTCCTCGATCTTCACGCAGGAGACGTCGATCTCCTTGGCAAACTCGCGCACAGCCTCGTTGGGATCCTCATAGGTGAAGGGGTCAATGTAGACTTTCATTCCAGGTGTTACTATAGGGGATTCAGTGGCAAGAACAGGCAAGTGAATCTATGGCGTCAAACTTCATTTTAACTCTATGTAAAGGTCTGAATACATATTCTTTATCAACAAAGGATAGATCAATGCTATATTATTGCACTGGAAACCAATTCATGCTATGTGAGCTATTATTTAGTGGTTAAGGATGCTGAGCCATTGCTAAGTAGTAATGACTAAGCAGAAGTATAGAAATAATGCTTTTGGAATGTGAATAGTGCAAGAGGCAGGAGCATCTCAGCAAAGAGACTTACTGTACTGCTGCAGTTTCTCTGTGTACTCCGACTCTGAACCGTTTCTCTGCTTTCTGTTGAGAAAGATGAAAACACAAACTGAGTCACGTGGCTCCACACAGCAGGGTGCAAATGCCGGAAAGGAACAAAAGCGGGAGAAGAAAACAGATCCCTAATAATGTCTGCAGAGATGTAGCCACACTACGCTGTAGCATTTGAAGCAAGGGATGCACTGTAGATAACAAAAGATTGGATCAATGACTGGTGGTAAAAATGTTCATACTTGGGGACTGGAACAAGAGTCTAAACCAAAAAAGATATCATACCATTGTCTGAAGCAGCAAGTGAAAGCCACTTACTCTCGGTACCCATAAAAATGAGCAAACGAGACAAAAGCAGACTCAAACAGCAAGCTCAGCTGTCTCGGCTTACTCGCCCTACAGACATCACACTGAGTGTTTGTGCCTCTTATTTTTCTCGTCATGGACGCTCTCTGTCTTGCCGTCATTCTCTTTTTCCTTTTTCACTATTTCCCTTCTCTCTTTTCATTCTTTTAGTTTCTGTATCCTCATCTTCCTTCACGGAGGAGGGGGAGTGGCAAAGATGATGACAGAGCGAGGGGGCTGGGTTGTTGAAATTACATGTTAATGTGCTTCCTTTGTTGTCTAACCAGTAACCAGGGCAATGATACCCAATGGTGATTTGCATCTTATTTCAAATTCTAATTCGGTTTTGTATTACTACTATTTTCTTCTTTTTCTTCTGTGGCAGTCAGAGCAGCAGCTAAGCCAAGACCCTGAGAGAGACACAATGTAGCGGTGTGAAAATAGAAGAGAGCGAAGAAGCGAGAGGGAGAGGTGGGGTAGCAAGGGAGATTATTATTCAGTCTGGCGTGACCGATGCCCACGCTTGTCAGACGCTGCCTGAACTGGCTTGTGGAGGGAACCCAGTGGGCGGGTGCCAACCTTTCACACGTATATACACACATGCACTGCATTTGCTGCTTGACAAATTAGTGGTATAAGAATAAACGAGTGTGGTTAGACCCAGCTGATGCAGTGTCAGGCTTTTTGAAAGGTGTGAGCAGCCGCTCGCACCTTCCCAGTCAATTGGGCCCAGCAGACAGGGCCACATCTGGGTTCTTTGTGGTCGGGCAAACGCACAGTTGATTCTGAGTGCCGGGCCATGAGGAGAGACCTATCAGGCCCAACAGCTGCTCCGCCATGCTGTGTCCAGTGAGCAAAGTAGCATTTTGGCCAAAGCTGTTTACTGTTGACAAATTCAAAAGGCTAATCTGACATTCAGTGGCCTCACACGTGGCACAGCAATCCGCTGAGACTCTTCTGTGGTGGTTTGGAGGACATGCAAACAAAGTTGACATTTGTAGCTATCTGGTTTTTTTTTCAACTTGAAGGAAAAATATTTTCCACAAATGTTTCTGTAAATCCTCACTGAACATATTGTGCAGAAAGTGAGTCAGCGTAGACATGTTTTGGCACACATGCTCCTCTTTTACGTGTTTTGACTTTTTGAGAGGCTGATAGAGCTAGGTACATTCTGACCTGAGGCAGACGATAGCGATGACCACAACTGCAATGATGAAGACAAAGGCGGCGGTGGCTGATCCCACGATGAGTGGCAGCTGCTCCTGCCAAGACTTTGGTGGGTCGGCTTTAGGGGTCAAAGAGAAAAAGTGGTTACTTGGAGGACTCCTCACAAACATTCACCACACAGCCGGAAATCCATTTGTATAGTTGATGACTGTGCCAATGTGTGCTCTGTCGTAAGTCTAACTGTAAGCTTTTTACACCTCTCACGGCATTCCCACTTCAGATTTATATGCTTACATAAGTAACCATGTCCCTGCATTCTTCAGGCTTTATTAAGCACAATGGAGAGCGACCTGAGATTAATAAATGCAGTTTTCTGTGTCTGCTTAATGATGACTATGATATAGAGTAAAAGTGAGGCTGATACCTTGACTGATTGCCCGGAGTAGATTTTCATCAAATCATAAGTCAAATTCTCTACAAGGATTTCAGTCTTTTTGCATGAATAAGCATAGTAGCTTCTAGGTCTATGAGCCTTTGAGCCTCCATTACGCTCATAAACTTCTGCACAGCACTATTATAGAGGTATTGCTATAAGCCACAAATCTTCCAATATATCCCTGGGTAATGAAGTAGGTATGGGAGTAACATACTTTGCAAGTTGGTGCTGAAGTCGGCTGGGCTGCTGTAACGACCGTAACCGGCCACTGTTCGGGCACGGACCTGTACCACATAGGGTGTACCAGCCTTGAGACCTTCAATGCGGGCGTTGCTCCGTTGTGCAGTCATGGTATGAGCAATGGCCTCGCCCTGATCCTGCAGAGGCAAAGAGAAGCAATCGTAATCAAAACAATGCCAAATAGTGGCCCCCTGTGTTCTCCCTTCTCTGATGCTCTACCCTCACTTACACAACAATCTAACCACACAGGCCGATGAAAGTAATACGGAGATAAGAGCGAGAGCAAGAGGGAGAGAGACATATTGTAGCCAGTGTGTTAATTCAATGGGAGGAAGATATGACAACAAACAGAGCAGATATACACTGAGTGCCTTTGTTCTTTCTCCGAGGCATCCAGACACAACTCTCTTGGCCCCTAGAAAATCCAGAACTTTTGTAATGCATGGATTGAGAGAGGATGCGGGATAAGAGGGGGGGCAAGAAGGAGAGATGGAATTAGAGTTTCAGGAAAAGGCAGAGCATAATAGAAATACAGAAAAGGATTGGGAGGCGAGAAATAGAAAAATGGAAGGAGGGATAGAGTGATAGGAAGAGGGGTATAAGTATGGGAGGACAGTCACACAAGCTAAGATTGGAAATGGTGACTTGCCTCACTGCAACCATGTGTTTATCAGCAGAGGCATTGTTTTCCACATTAACAGAAACACAGATGAAACAGAGACCATGCAAGTCAATGAAATTGGATTGAATTAGAGGCGTTGACTTACATTGCTGCTTACCTTCTCATGGTACTTAATCTCATAATCCAGAATGATTCCGTTGGGTTTCTCTGGAGGCAGCCAGGACAGGCTCATGGTGCTCGCTGTGGCCGCCATCAGGTGAACTGTGGGCACTGCAGAGGGAGCTACAAAGGGCAAGACAAATAAAGGAAAATCCGCTTTAGCTATCATTTTCTATGTAATGATTTTTTTCAAATTCTATGCCCTTTGTATGTCCACAGAAGCCCACATACAAAGTCTTAGGCTGTGGGCTTTGTGGAAAGCTTTGGCCGATAGTTAGTATGCAGAACCATTCCCCACTATTGCTCAAATTCTCTCTCCGAGTCTGCGGGGAGGGAGAGGGGATGTCTAATTCTCCTGTGACAAGAGAATCAAACTAAAAAACTGATGGATAAGTCTCTGGTACATTTACCATACACCAACTGTAGGCATACTTAGGGGCAAGCACACATACAGATGCAGACTTTTCACTTTGCATTCAACTGCATTAATGCCAATCTACTGGTGCACTTTTGCTCCAAACTATTGAGGAAGTTTTTTTGGGACCAGTCATGTTTTCCTCCATTGGTAGTTTTCCAAGTTATAAGACATCCTATGAATTATTTACTTATTTATTTATTCATATAGACATAATTTATATAATTTGCCCATAAATAGACATGCATGCATTGGTGGACTCACACTCACAGAGGAGCATAAAACACCCTGGCATTCCACCCACCTGAGCTTCTAATGCTTTGTTCACATGTGCCTATTAATGGCCAAGTGTTGTCTGCCTCTCCGTCTCTCTTTCCTCTTTTCTAGGTTCAGGCTTGTTTTGTACGTCTGATGCACTCCCTCCTCTCAGTCTACCAACTACTCAGATTTTGTTTCATAACTTCAGCTGTCAATCTTCAGTTGTAGCTTCTATTAAAAAAAATAACATTCTTCACTTCACTATTTCCTACACAATCACCTTCTTTAATTTCCCCTGTCCTCTTCGGCGCTTCACTTTTCATCTTCCTTTTCACTAATGCAGACCTCCATCTCCACTCTCAGTCTCCCTTACTTCAAGCTTTTTAATCCTTCATTTTTAGTTCTTTCATCCTCCCCCTTGCATTTCCTTTCTCCCTCGGCTGCCTGTGTTTGTGGCCAGACATCCCCCTGTTTCTCTCTCTCTCTCTTTGCGCCCTAAACCGTCCCTTCCCTGCCTCTTTCCCTCCCCCATACTATCCACCAAGGCCCACTACGTCTCCCTTTCTCCCCCCAGAAGACAATGCTTCCTAGGCAGATCCCCTGGTTTCTCTAGCCAGGGGATTAGGGGCCCTCCTCCGGGAGAAGACGTTGGAGTAACCATGGAGGTGGCCCCTGGGGCTTATCGCCGCCCTAGTATTTATTTTGCTTCTTAAAAGGTGAATGCACATGCAGGGATGGTCTTGGGACTACACCAGGGGATAATCTGATCACAGTTGATGCTCTCTCGCCCCCTCCTATCCCATCACCTCTTTTCTTTTGCACCCAACTGACCCCAAGCAACCCCGGATGGACATTGGTCCCTGTCAGGACAGTGCCGAACCCCTTGTAAAACAATGAGGCCCTCATGCGGGGTCCTGTAGGGCCTTTGGGTATTAGACCCCCAAACAGAAGGCCTCCCTGAAAACGGAGGAAAACGCAATGGAGACAGGCGAGAGATGATGGGGGAAGGAGCAAGGGATAACCCTTGGTGTTGTCTAAACCTGCAGGAATAGTAAATTTAACAAATTGACTAAACACATCCAAGGCACAACTTAAGAGCCCTGGGAGAACCTCAACAAAGAGACCAACCCACACAAACTTAAGTGTAGAGTAAGCTCAACAGCACTGAGGTTATTTAAGGTATATTGAACCCACTGAAATGTGTAAAAATACTCTACCTACCTTCTTACTAACCTACATACCTATCTACCTTTTTTAATGCCAGATCATTAACCCTGAAATGTAATTTAGATTGTACATCTGACATTTGATATAAGTAACACAAGCAATAGCTTATCATGTGTGCTTATGTGTGTGTGTGTATATATATATATATATATATATATATATATATATATCAGCTGTAAATATGCTACATGAAAAAAATGTCAGTCTTCTGTAAATATTATTTTTTTCATCCAAGCACTGATTGCAACATTGGCCTAGTTACTGTTGTTGCTGTGGGCTGGAGGAGTGGTGGGTTGGAAGCAGTGGGCAGCTAGAATACTGAGGGTTCAACACTTTGAATGCAGACTGCCTCGCTATTGCTATTTGCAGTGGTGTTAGTACAGAGCATGCTGTGGGCGTGTGGAAAAGGTCTCTTTCTAAGCTCATTCAGAAGAATGTCTTCCTTCTCAATCCCTGTTCAAAGGGAAATATGTAACACACTCCTACATGCTTACAATAAATTGATCTCTACTTCTTAAGCGCAGAACATATTCTCTGACATTGTCTTGCATCTCTTTTAAGCCTTTCGCAGTGCCTACAAGTTCAATATTGATCTTTGACAGGTAAGCCAAGGGGCTGCAGCTGCACCTACCGGCCTGATTTGTGGTGATGTTCACTGCAGAGAACTGAGGCGTGTAGGGGCTTTTGTTGGAAACACCGTTGACCGCCTGGATCTCAAAGCTGTACTGCGTGTGGGCTTGTAGATTACGGACAGCCACACGGCGCTGGGTCAGGCCCAGGTGTCGCGGCGAGATGTCAACGTTGTCGTCACACCGCGAGCACATTCCCCGCTCAGGCAGGCACTTCTTACAGATGACGTTGTAGAAGATGTCTTCACGGCCACCCAAGTCACGTGGGTCGCTCCATTCCAGCACAAGTGAGGTTTCGTTCACGCTGGAGATGACACTGCGTGGTGCAGAAGGAACAGCTGCAAAAGAGAAGAAAAGCGTGGTTAAGATGAGGAAAATAGGTTTGGAATCAGAGTGAATTTAATCTCCATGCACAATAGGTGTTACAGAATTTGTCTTGCTGACAGTACAGAGACATACTGACAATAGACAGAGATTCATACTGCAAAACACAGTTTACATATCATTATACACATACATTCATTATTCCATAGCTGCCTACAACACAATTCATGACCCATGAATTGTCCTTGTGCTGTGGTATTAGTACATTTTTCATGCATTAACAACAACATTTTTTTCTTCAACATAACAAGAGTCTCTTCCAGCAGTTCTCCAAAAAAAGGACAGCAGTTCAAATTTAAATTGCATGCTCATTTCCAGTGTGTGTCTGTGTGTAAAGTGCTGGGGGGAACGACCGAGACAAACTATTGGCAGAGCTTCGGCAATTCTTATCCAATTACTGGAGCCTTATCTCTCACTGCACTGTGGGAGAATCAGCCCCCCACCCCAGCAACAGAAAAAAGGATCTTCTTCTTTCTTCACCAGCGAATGAATTAGCTCCTACGTGTTCGTGGTTGCTATTAACGAAGGCACTGCTACAAGAAAAAATCCTCCACTGTCTGTCTGTAAAAGGATGGCAGCATCGTGAACAGATAGACTACACTGAGAGGCAGACAGGGGAGGAGTTGGATGATAACGTTTAGGATAAAGTTGGGAAAGCAAGCAGACTTGTTTGCCATCCGTGTGGCCATTCCTGTTGGTTTTTAATCAGCCAATGAGAGCACAATTCAGAGAAGGAAGTTTGGGAGAATATTTACGACACAGTCAATAATTTAGTTTTATGACTAACAATACATTTGATTGCTGTATGAATATAAAATATAAATCAATTTCTATCTTGTTTTCAAAAGAATTGCAATAACAACATTTAACTTTATCAGTGTGACTTTGAAACTTGTGGTTGCTATCTGGTCAAAGCGGTCTTTACTTACTGGTACAGGGGGAGTCGGGAGAATCGGTGTCTGAGCGGTAGTAGCCGTTTCTACAGGAGCAAACACTGGATGCTCCTGAGCTGGCACGGCTGTTGGCTGGACAGGGCATGCAGAAGCTGTCTCCTTGTTTGGACTTGAAGGTGCCAGGGTTGCAAGCTGATGTAAAAAAGAAAAGAAAAAAATAAGTAATAGTGAGGATTGTATATAACAATTTAAGGCAACACTTATATTACATTTGTGTGGGTCATATTTCCAAAGGGGTAGTAGGCCGAAATAATCGATTTTACTTTCACACAGCCTTAGTTTTAGTATACAAGCATCCACAACACTAGTGGAACATTCCATGGTAACACTGTTCCAGCTCACTGGTAAAAATGACTAGAATCGCTTATTTGATGTGTTTAGCATATTTTTGTTTATGTACATGCGTGCACATGGATATGATTTGTTTTTTTTCCCCTCAAGCCCACATGTTCCCTTTTCCCCTTTTAGAGAGTGCAAAACAAAGAGTGGAGAGGGTGTTTTGAGCAGCATGTATCTATTTGCTTAAACCCATGCTCACACGATGAGACTGTCATCCGAAATTACATACACGATGCTCAGAGCCAACGTGCTGGCATGGTGCTTTCATTTGAATTCAGTCAGTTATGAAATACATATACACATGCACACAGAGAATCAAAGAGGCACACGCTGCAGTGTATACAAACATGAGTCTGGCCTCAACTGTACAAAGATGCATGTCTGTTCACACACACCATCTAGGCCCCAATTCACTTCAATTTACTTAAGTTAAGAGACTGTTGTCTGAATCCTTCTGTCTTTAAAATCTCCCTTCACAGACCTTCACAAAATTAACTTCATCATACTTACCATAACTGGTTCTCGATTAGTAAAGCAGTTAATCTGATAAAAACACCGCTGGCCTTTGTGAATGCCCTTTCTACATTTATAGCCGCTGTTTGGAAGTGTATAACTCAGGTGATAAGTTGCAGGCATGGAGGGAAACACAGACAGCGGCGACTTTGGCAGGCCCCATATCTTTGATAAACTGTCTCGTTAAAAGATGAATGAGTTTGCCGCAGCGTTTAATAAAGAAAGATGAGAGCAGGTAAGACAGGCAAAGTTTACAGGGGCCAGTTGATTAGCTGACCCACTAGTGCGCTATCTCGTCAATGTCAAGGACACACTGCGATGTTTGTCCCTCTGAATGATAATCATCACTATAGCTCCTGCATTTGTTTTACGCTCCCTGTTGAAAACAACAAAGATTGGGGGTCAAATCTACAGCAGACCACTTCCTGCTACTGCTGTTTCCCCCGCTTTCTTTTCTTTTTTTTCTAAGTTCAATATTAGCACAAAACCACCAGTTGACTGCACCGTGTACATTAGCACTGAGTGTATTTGTTCTTCCACCATTAATCAGAGTCTTTCACACCACTGACTAACAGGAAATACTGCTTGATAAACAGATAAGAAACAACCTCGAGCTTTACCAGGTGGGGGAACAACTTCTTTGATTTTTCGTATCATGACCCATGCAAGTTCATTTAAGTTCACCCAAAGTAAACTACCAGCAATTTCTCAACTCCCAAGGGAAGAGAGTTTGGGGAGTTTTTGAACAGGTTTGGCCCAAAGATTTTGATGTAGCAATCCCATTTAAAAAAAAATGTTCGAGGAAGGGCTGAAAGTGCTGACAAATAACTTCCAGTGATTAAAGGGGTCATCCTCTTCCTTTCATCAATTTTCCCCTTCAAAAAATGGCTAAAGAATGAGGAAGAAAGAGAGACAAGGGGCAAGAGCAAAAGGGAAGGAGAGGTGGAAGAGGTGGAGGCATAGATAATGCTAATTCTGCAGCCCCCCCCCCCCCCCCCCCCCCCCCCCCCCCCCTTTCCACACTCCCCTGTGTATTATCCTAAGCTCTATGTTCATGCAGAACATCGAGCTTAAGGAACTGATTAGAGTATATGCTGAAATTGGAAAGTATGGAGCATGACGAGAAAAGTAAAGAATATTGGGGGTGCAGAATGTGCAGCAAACAAGTGGAAAGGCAAAAAAAAAAAGGCTCATCCGTTAATATTAATGCAGACATCCTTACTGTAACTCTTGTGGCATATTAATTTGAGCAATGGCCTTCGGATTGAGAAGGAACGGGAGAAAGAGAGGAAATACTAGTACAGAGAAAGGTGGAGAAAGCTGCATGAGGACAGAAAAGAAGAGTCATGGTCAAAGGATGATGAGAAATGGGTTTGGAGAGGAGAGTGGACCTGAGGAGAGGTGAAAGGAGAAGAGAGGTAGATTTATCCCTTGTGGTTTCCACTGAAGCTTGATTAGAGTATGTTTTATCAGGACCCAGTCGCCAGGGCTTTAACCTTGAGCTGCCAGGAGCAAACAAATTAGTTTTTTAACCACATACACCATGCTTTAGATTTACTACGCTCTCTCTCGCACATACACACTCTCCTTCTAAAGGTGAATACACATATTTAGGGTCTGCCAGAAGCTGCCAGTGTAAAGTATCCACCCACTCTCTGGATGATCACCAGTATTGGTACTTAACTTAAAGGTCTTCTCAGTCTCATCTCTCACTGCTATAAGGAGAAAAATGAGCCCTCTGAACCCAGGCAGGCAAACCACAGACAAACTGTACATGTGCAGACACCTCGCATTCAACCCTGCTGAAGAATAACCCTACCAGCTCCCCGCTCTCTCTCCTTCTCATTCTGCTTTCTCCATTTGACCTGCTCACCCTAAGCCGAATTTTACGCCCCCATACCCCTCAACACACACACATTTTCCATTTATCCCTTGTTCTTTTCCATGCTGTCACCTGCACTGCATTTTAGTCGAGATCTTGCTGTTTAAATTCACCTTGCTCTCAACCTCTGTGAACCCGTCATGTTTTCCATCAGACCTGAAACCATCAGAGGGCCTCTCAAAAGCAGACAGCCTCCCCTGCATTTCCATTTATTTAGCAACCAGCTGCCAAGCAAAACTGAGGTCAGAGGAGTGAACAGTCGCCTGCTGATGGTGTCATCTAGTGTGTACATCTAGTGTGTATTATTTTACCTTGTCATCATTGGATTAATGTATCAAAGAATACGAGGCAAATAAAAGGCTCATAATAATGTGGCAGCTGGACCAGCTAGTGATAGTGGCTGTGACCTGTAGCCAAAATAATACCGCTTCAATCTCTCCAACAATCAGTGTGTGTCCACAACATCCTTTGGTGCACATGAAGAGTCCTTCAGCAAGACTTTGACCCCTTACTACTCTCATTGTAATTCACCATGCATGCGACCATCAGATACTATGTGCCTAAAATGCAAATTAACCTTTCTCAGCAGTAATAATGTGATACATTATTGATCGCTATAGGGAAATCCCCCCCCCCAACCACCATCTTGCAGGGAAGGAAAGACGGTGAAATATGCATCAACAAAGAAATAGCTCACTGCTCTGTAAATTTGTAACGTTTCATTGAGTGGATTTGTGTAGCTTTGGGTAGCAGTTGACATAGGGCTTGGACCTTGTGTACCCTGTTCAGTCTGTCTCTCTAACCTCTAGATTAATCCACCATGACAAACACTGAGTATTAAAATCCTCGACTGACTCAAAATACCTGTTGTGAAAACACTCACCTTGACATTGGGTATCCTTTATGGCTGGTTCGAAGCCAGGCGAGCAAGTGCAGGCTCCTACAGGAACCATCCACTCGCCATCTCCATTGCAATAGAGCTTCAATGGCACGGACACCTCCAGAGCGTTGGGGACACAAGTTCCCGGCGCAATAACCAAAGAGGTTGCCTCGGCCCCAGTTGCTGTCTCTGGGAAAACGGCAAAGTTGGCAATGGTGGTGGAGCATTTTTTGTAAAAGACCCTCACTGAGATGAGTGACATGCAAGCGCCAAGATCCTGAAAGGCCAAGTAGAACCCGGCTTTGGACAATGGCCCGAAACTTCGAACCTTTGTGTTTACCCGCCCAGTCTCAAGCATGGAAAAGCTCTCATCTGGGGCAATGGTATCCACCTTCACATAAGGGTTCTCCATCCAGAAAGGGCTTGTGGCTGTGGCTGAGTCTGAGTCAGACTCGTAGTAGAAGAGGTTGAAGGTCTCTTTGCAGGAACCTGGGATGTTGGGAATGCTGTTGCAATCGCGCACTGTGAATTTCATCTCCACATATACACGCAGCACATCTTTTCGTGGGATGAAGTCACTGCGCAGCCAGTTATTCTGGTTTACCTCACGTACATTGCAGACTTGGTACGTCCGGATGGGGTTCATGGCATCATCGTACCCACTCACCTCTTCCCACTGAAAAGAGAGTAGAGAAACATAAACAGATCAGAGGCTGTAAATGTGTATTGATATCTTGTACGGATATTCAGACAGTTTTTTCTGCTTTTTGGGCATTTTCAATAACATTCCCTTGCCTTTGCCATGCTACACTTTTCATCTCTGGTTAGTGGAGCCAGGGACGAGGACTGCAAATTCATCTCAATTACAGCAACCTGTCACCCCCTCACCACAGAGCCACCGCAGCATGTTTACCTCATATCTGTTTGGAAGTAGCAGTCACACTGCTTCACAACCAATTATGCTTCAATTACAGAGCAATGATCGCAACGTCCTCTAATGAAGATGCCGGTTAACCTTCATGATTTTCGTTTTTTACAATCCTCTACATCTTTCAATGCTGCTACAGTACCCAGGGGGTGAATTACTCAGGATAAAATGCGATTCAATTTTCTAAACTTTGATTACCAGCTTCATTACATAAGCGCAAGCAAACTAGACTTAAAAGCTTTACTGTTAGACACATTTTTCAATCTCGAATGAGGACACCAAGATTAAATAATTTTACTTCAAATAGCGATTCCTGTGTGTATAATATATCTTTGTGCGTGTGTGCTGAGGGATCTGCTCTCCTTTCCTGTCAGAAAAACAGAGTGCATTTATTATTAAGGCCTGGGAAGGTTATTTGCATACGTAGCACCTTTCAAATAAGTGTTTTGCATTAGGTATAGCAATGCAAAACAACACTAGACAAATTAATAAAAGCTTGAGTGCAGTTTCAGCTAAAAGTCTGTACTATTTTACATGGCTGTCATTGGACTTGCTACCTAAATCCATGTGATTGAACCTGTGACCTAGTGATTACAGGGTGGTCACATCACTCAGCCACCCTGAAATATTAGAGTACTTGACTCTTAAATGCCAAAACATCTAAAACAAATTAAGTGTCTATGGTTGCACTCTCAGGATCAAAGTTTTCCTCGGAACATTTGAACGAAGGCACCAATTTGTTCTCCAGAGCCAGTTCTTACTATCTGAGCATCTTAATTGAAGCTGTGATATGGATGTGGTGGAGACAAGTCTATTCATTCAGGACCCTGGAGGCCATAAGGGGGAGAGGGAGAATGGGTGTAGCTCGGCCGTTGCATTAAAACGATGGCTCGGCGAGAACGAAGAGGAAGCGACTAGAGGGAATCAATAATCACCGACCAGGTCAATGGGATGGCTAAAAGCATGAAGTGTCAATGGGTATTTAGTTTAGTGTAATAAATCAAAAGAGCGTTACAGCCAAGTGTTTGTGGGTGTGTGTTTGACAATGTGCATGTTTGTTTAAATGTGCTAGTGTGAGTCTGTCTGCCTGAATGTTTAATTGCTCTGTTTGTTTGAGGGTATGTACGTAAAGTTGTGCGTCTGTTTGTGTATGTGTGTGTTTAGAGAGAGGTCATCCCCCAGAGACACGCACCAGTGGCCAAACACTCTGAGTGCCTGCTTACAAAGCATGAATGAATTAACAGGTCATTCGAAAAAGGGTCAAGTTGCTTGGCATCGATTTCCAACAAGATTAATCGTTATGCGAAATTTGTGGTTTCACTTAATTTTCTCTTTGTCCTTTCCAATCAAAGCTTTCAACTTTGCTTTAAGGTGATGATGAACAATACCTCTGTGATGCACTCCTTGCCGGTCCAAAGGCCCGCATTAAAAATATATATGGCAGCATTTTGGCGTAACTATGGGTCTTTGGAACAAACCATGGATTATGGATATAGAAAGTAGACACATGTGCTGCAGGAGTTTAAGACCTTAAGATCTTTATGGACAATTTATGCCATTTAACAACCTTAAATTAATTCATGGTGAGCATTAACTTTAACTAACCTGGACAGCAACGAAGATAAACTCCCATTAGCTTTAGGCATTAGCTGAAATGTTGTAGCCCCCACAAGCTTCTGTGTGCTTTATTCTGTTTGATGTTAGAATGAATAAGCTCTCTGAGGCTAATTTGAAGACATTTTAGCTTGTTCATAACATGTTTTAGCATGCTGGAGATCTGTGAAGCAGCTTGCAATAACAATGGTTATTATCTTCACAGGCTAACTAATTTGGTATATTGTTGTCAGTTTGGGTATGGAAAACTCTGTGGGTGTCATTCCAAGTCTGAGGGAAGCCTTGCTATACAGTATAGGGGAATACCATTGGGAAAATTGTAAATGCAAGCAACAACATGAGGGTAGCTCGAGATAGGTGTCTACGTGCACAGACACTGACACACAGACACAGGCATGATACACAGATTATGCAGGCTATTACTATAGACAGATGAAGACAGTGAGATAGAGAAATCCACAAACCAAAGTGCAGACACAGAGGGGAAAGAACACATGTGTACACACGCACACATATGTGATGGCAGTACCTTGCACGTATAATTATATGTGCTCTTACAGATGCACATTCTCAAACCCACTGTCACAATTAGATGCAGTTTATGTTTCCTCTGTGTATCTTTATGTCTGACGCTTTATCGTATGTGTTGTGCAACACTGTGAAAAATACAGAGATGCTGTGACTCAGGCTTGACTGGACAGCATGCCTGGGAGAGTGCGAGTAGTCTATGTGAGTGAGTCTTTTTCGAAGATTTTTTCTTAGAAATGTATTATTTGTTTTCTTATATGCTGTCTCCTTCTCCCTGCTTGGACATTTCTGTGGATTGGATTTAATCTCAGTCTCACTATTCTCCCCCTCCCTTCCAGCTCTTGCAGTATTTTGTTTTGTTTGTCTTCTCAGCCACTGTATCGGTTCCTCCTAAACACTCGTCATCCATTGCAAAAACAGGCCACGATGCTCCCATTGCAAAAGCCCAAAAGCATACAAATAAACATATGCACAATACATTGTGCATAAAGACAGACAAATATAGCATTATCTCTTTGTAAGAGAAATATAAAAGGAGGGAAAGCAGGGTGGAAAGACAACTCGGGAATCACCATCTGTGGGACATTCTGCTACAAAAAAAGGCAGGGGAGAAACTCTTCTCCAGTCCTTTGGTTGATAATGGGAGCGCATAAGGCTCTCCACTGTATGTATATCTATTGAAAAGGAGCATCTGTTGTGGGTTTGCTTGGAAACGAAACGGGAGGCGTTCTGCATGGGTCTGGTGGGAGCATCACTACTGCATTGTATCTTAACGAGGAGGAGGGGGGCAGAGGAAGGCAAAGGAAGATGGACGGATGGGAAGGGAGAGGGACGAAGGAGAAGGAGGGCACGAAAGGCTGTTAGGGCGTTTGTCCTACTGATTGTTGCAGCTGAGGATGCTAATGTCTCTGGCTTCATTTGCGCTCAGTTACTTGCAAGTAAAAGAAGGGGAAAATAAGGAGGGTCGTCGACTTTGAACTGCTGCGGTGGAATGTTGCTGCAATTGCAGGGTAAAATACAAAATGTAAAAAATGGGGCCCCACCTTTTAAAACACAAGGGCCAAGTCAGAGGGCCACACAAAGGCAAGGGGAGGAGCACTGGGGGTCTTTGAAGTATAGCTGAGGAAGGGTCAAGACTCCTCTTTAAGCCATTGTGGAGACCACATGGGAAAGCAAGATGGGGCTGTCACTGGCACATTGTGTGTGGTAGATTTGGATGCCGGGGCGTGCAATGGGTCAACGGCAAGAAATATTTTAAAAGGTTTAAAAGGTTAGTTCATGAGGAAAATGGCGTTTTTCATGTGATCAGTGCACTGGGGCAAGGGAACATCTGTGACTGGGCGGGTCAGTGAAATTGGATTGCAGTGTATCTTGTGCTGCTTGCTAAAAAGCGCATCCTGTTGAATCCCAAAACATATCTTGTTGAGTGATTTGCCAATGAAGTTGTGCAGGACTGTTTAACTTCAGACAGGCATGCAGACACACTGCATGTAGAAGCACAAGCACACACAAACACACACTCAACACTAAATGTACCCCTTGAATAAGTATAGGGTCGAAGTTATTGTCTACACCTGAACATACGGTATATGTGAATTTCAATTATAAATCTAAAGCAGCGGTTATGTTGCCCACACAATTCTCTTTTCTCCATCTGTTTCTCCATTAATAAATCAGTCTTACTCTACACGAACACACAAAGGCATGCAAACACACACACACTGCACAGTGAACTCACCCCTGTCTCAGGGTGTGCAGTCCAGGCTAATTCTGTCGTGGCCCACTTCGTGTCCATCAGCGTCTCTGTGAACGGAAGCAGAAAGTAAACAACCAGGTCAGACAAAGAGGAACAGGGTGACAGAGGAGATCAATTGAACTTTCAAAAGTTTTACAACAATGTCATAAAACTTGTAAAATGAGCCGCGGAAGAGATAAGAGGCTTTGACTGAAGTTGTTCTCAGATAACTGGGTGAATTAATGAATGACAGAGAGCGCGGGATTAGAGCGATATTAGATTCAATTACACAAAGAAGTACAGGACGTCTGTGTGTGACAGGAAGACCAACAGACAGTAAGGCAAGGATCTAGGTGGGTGATCTGTGAGGTATTGTGTGACATTTTACTGCGGCTCCATGTCTGGCTAATTAGTTTCAATTAGATGTTTGCTTTTATACAGGGGAAAGGAAACAACAGCGAGTCTCGCTGAGAAACGGTTCCGCTTCCCACAGGGCACCGCAACACACACACACACACACACTTGATAACACTCCCACATACAGCGAGTAACAGGTTGTAAAACTCCCTAAGATATACAACCCAACAGAAGGCTTCAGTGAAGAGGGGGGTTATAAAGTTAGGTGTCACAAAAGAGGAGCTTTTGAGCGGAACAGAGGTCGAAACACTTCAATTGGATTCACTTTCTGCCAATACTTGAGCACATATGCACTTCAAGTTTATCTTACTTTTGTGCCTGTCTCCTGGCAAACACAGAGAAACACACACACACACACACACACACCATGTTCACAATACACACAAAATGGTGGACAGGATTCTCTCCTCTCCCCTTTTCACCCTCTTGTTTCGATACTGGCAAAGACGACGGCTTTGTGAGAGCAGTGAAGGAACACTATAAATGTTGAGTCTTTTACTACCTGGTGCTCAAGGCGCAGTACGCAGCCACCCTTATTATCTCAACCGCTGTGCTGTTCTACAAGATAGTAAAAGATGATGAAACGGCACTGCCAGCAAGTGAACTTGAACCGTCCCTGTTCGTGAGAGGAAGTGCGAGATGTTCCAATGTTTTGGCCTTAGTTTCATGCGATAAACCTGAAGAAGTCTCTCGGCTCCCTTTGCTACTCTATCAACATCTCTGAGGTTTTCTCTGCCTTTATCCCCCTCTTTTTTCTTATTTCCTTTGGTCCTGATAAGCTGGCAGGAAAAAGGACTTGGGAGCAAAATAAAAGAGTAAACCCCAGCCCCCCCACACCTGCTGCCTTAACTGCTGCATTCAGGAGCACCAGCGGTGACAAACGCAAATACCTTCGAACTCAAGAGACCCCTTGTGAGTCTAGCTCTGTAGAGACGACTTGCTCCTAAAGCTGGAAATTCCCATTGAATCTCACCCCCTCATGCTTTGGGTGAGTGTCCCTGACATGTGTATGTGCCTATTACACCGGTGAGATAACATGACTTCCAAGAGAGTTCCTGTCTAGGGGAAATATGGGCAAAATGCTCTAGAAGCTTCACTGTGAGCCTCTTCTCACAGCGAGAACTGTCTCTCTGGGAGTGGTGGTTCAGGGAGCGAATATCATGTCCAGGCAGCAGCGCAGGGATCTAGCCAGCTCACAGCCAAACAATCTTCCCTTTCTCGCTTGTCAGTTTCCGATTTTCTCTCTATGCTGATAGTGGAGGTGCTTTCAAACAAATCATGAATTCCATCTGCTTTTGCGGAGAGCTCTCTTTGCAATCAGATGCAATGAGCCACATTTGTCTCTTGTGCAAATAAGGGCATACTTGTCTTTTTATCCCACAAACCGTGTAAGTGCATATTAGCAGTGGGACTTCCGCTGACTCAGACCATGACAGTGTGTGATTTGAGACCTTTAACCGACAGCTACGCAGGTAGGTAAGCCGCTGGGGTGGAAATTATACACCTCCGCCGCCTGGTGTTTATTATTATGACTGGCTCGTGTGTTTGGTGAATTGGCTTGTCATTAGAGCTGACCTTGCTGAAAATGACAACACGGTGGAACACTGACAGGCAGAGTCAAAGAGGGGAGGTAAATGGGAGACAGAGACAAGAGAGAAAGAACGAGAGCTGAAGAGCAGAAAGAGATATATGGAACACACGGATGTGCGGTCTGACTCAGTGGTGTACACATTGGATCATTCGGGAGTGCATGTGCAGCAGTTACATTTCTCTTCTCGATGCATCTGCATTGTTTAGCCCTACCAGGCCTGTGCTTTCGTGTGTGTATGAATGTGTGCATGTGTGTCCATGTGCTGGTGTAATTGTGTGCATTTGTGCATTAGAACTCTGTATTGTGCCCAAAGTGGAGCACCAATCCGGAGTCAATGGGCCAAAGCAAAAGCACCAAATGACCCCGACCTCACCCGGCTGCTCCCACTCTGTCAGTGTGTCTGTGTGTGTGTGTGTGCGCGCGCATGTGTGTGCATGTAGGTGGCTGCTATGCTCATTTGTCTCTGCACACTATGTTTATGTGTGTGTGCATGTGTGTGCGTGCGTGTGTAGTACATCGGTTAATAGAGGAGCACTGCAATATTCATGACTGTGCAGCAAAATCCAGACACTTGCACAGTCACAGAAAATACACAAACACGCACACACAAACTATAGAGGAAACAAAACAAACCAAAAAATGTAATGCTATGCCCACGCTCAAAGCAACCGCTTCCGTGTGCCAAACTGCCAAAACCTGTGCTATATGGATGATAAAGGATGAGAGAGAGCCAAAGACAGATTAAAGAGCGAAAGGTATGTTTTAAAGCAAACAACCTCTGAAAGCTTCTAAGACCATGCTGGCGGTTTGCCTTATAGGCTCGTCCAAGAGAGAGAAAAAAGAAAAGTAGATAGAAAAAAACCAGAAGAACGAGTTGGGGGAGAAACAGCCATTGTGTGACTAAAGGATCCTCCCTAGTACACAGGCAGTGCTCTCGTTTGCCTTTTAGCTCTATATGTTTCACTTCACCCTTTGAAATCCTGGAGATGTAAAATGAGAGAGGGGATGATTGTAGGTTGGATGGAGGGGAAAGAGCAAACAGAGTGAATCAGGCAAATGAACATGCAAATTTACTGCCGTAAAAAACACACGCTCTCGCACAGTGAGAGTGAAGCGTACACATGTGGGAGGTAGCACTGGATCAGCATACACAGATGCACAAGCTTAATCCATCTTCTTTGCACGCACTCACTTTTATTCTTAGTTGTTTTCGATCTCTTTCTCATCATCCCTGTGAAACGATGGATCTAATTCCCCTTCTCTTTCTCTCAATCTATCCCCCTGTTGTGACTCACTTTTCTCTGACTACTTTCTCTCTCTTCCCTCCACTCGGAAGTGATAGGTTTGACCTCTTTTCATTTGTCCTTTCCTCTTCCTCTTCCTTCCTCTTTTTCTCGCCGAACTCTATATCTGTGCTTGTGTTTTCACACTGTGCTGTGATGGATGTGACTTTTCGGGTACGGGGGAATGTTTTTCAACCTCCCACCGCTTACGAAGGCTATTCAATTAGAGAGTCACTGTTTAAGTAACCCAGGGATTTCTTTAGTAAAGTGGTATTTATGCTTGAGGTCAAACTCACCTGGGATAAGCATAGCAAACATGCGGGGGGGGGGTTGTTTTCCTTGCTAACTCTGATTGTGTGAGAAAAATTGCAGGTATACAAACAGGCTTGGGGAGATCATATGCAGGCAAATACATGCGTTCATGCACACTTGCATGCACACATGCAAAGCCAACCCCTGCACTCTAATCCCGTAATGACAGGGGAGGCCTAATAACAGGGGAGGGCACTGAAGCATTTGTCCCTATGGCCGCATCCAACGCACACACACACACACACAGCACCCACAGTTACAAGCCTCTTAAAATATTTCTTTTTTCAAACAAGCAGACTTCTTAAAGAAGGAAAAAAAGAAAGGCCCAAAGAGGAAAAGGGGAAGAAAGGCTATTATTGAGAGAGAGGAATGTGTAGTCGTTTCACGGGGCCCGAGTAGCAAGGAGCAGACAGGTGAGGGATTTAGCTTGGATCTTGCCGCAACTACTTTGAGCTTTTTAGCATGCTCGTCTTTGTTAGCGTGACCCCGTCCGATGACAACTGAAAGATAACTGAACATATCACAAAGATATGTCTCGACAACCTCGGAGATAAAATTGTTACAGACACGCAAGAGCAATGTCTGAAATGTTAGTGAAAAGCTGACTTAATCGCTTCCTGTTTCCTGCTATAAGCACAAAACAAAATGGCTTCTTCTCGTTCCAGCTTTAACTGCTGTATTAATGAAACATGATGACAGCAGGATTTTGTTTCAGCCAGAAAAAAAGTAATGAAAAAAAAGCAAAAACTTCAAACCTCCCCGATGACTCTTTCCCCGAAATCCTTTCCTGAGGCTACTCCACTAGTTAATTATCTGCTCCCCACCTCTTCTCTGAGTTGCTTTTGTTGTATTCTCCTACAGTCAAACAGACCAAGCACATGGCAACCTGGCATGGGGTAGCCACTCCATTAAAATACTATGCCGTCTGGTTGCCAAACACTTGAGCCTCTGTTTAGCCAGAGAAACAGTGAAATGTGTCAACACTGAGAGTGAGGACCCCACGCTCAACTTATTAGCGCTATTAGCCTGATTGCTTTCTGTGCTATCTTTGTTGGCCAACGTGGGGCAGAGAAAGAGGAAGAGAGACAGGAAAAAAAGAGAGCAGGAGGAGAGATGCTATTCAAATTCAAATTGTCCAAGCAGCCTTTTTGCCTTTGTGCAGGGCCAGAGTGCGATGATTAGGAGAAGTCCCCTCCATTTTATGGCAAGACCTCCCCTTCAGCACACACACGCACACACACACACACACACACACCCACACACATAGTCACGGTAATTGGTTGCTGCGACATGGACAGGCCAAGGAGGTGATTCCTCTGTGGAATTCCTGAACGGACTCGCCTCTCATGACAACCCCCCCCCCCCCCTTCAATCAGCACACACACACAAATACTTCACCCCGCTTCCACTCACTGTCAGTCATCCCACAATGGCTGTCACACAATAGGTTTGTCCTGTGTGTGTG